CTAGTTACACAAGCATTCTCTTGGTTCCGTCCAATCGGAACAGATGGTGCGTCCCAGACAGGACGTCGCGCCTTATTTCTTTATGGAGGTAAGATAAAGGCGCGACGTACTGTCTGGGGCACACCATCTGTTTCGATTGGAAGGAACCCTCCTCTCCCCGCATAGCTTATTTCTGTTTGTCTTTAATTTTTAATTCCATTAAATCGCTCTTAAAAAATTAGGGAGCTTTAATTTTGAAAAACTAATAACGGAATCCGACAACCGCCATTATTTGACATATTTTGGTAAAAACCACGTTAAAATCCGCCAGGTCGCTTTCGAAATAACTTAATTATATGGAATATTGAAAAAATAAAATATGCCCCACATTAAGAACACATCGGTTTACCACCAGTCGAAATTTGAAATTTTTTCGTCAAATAGTTTTGGAGAAAAAAAATCGCAAAATAGACAAAGTTGCTGGCACTCTCAAAAATCGGGTACTTTTTTCACTTAATTCGCGATAAGTTCCAAATTAACATGTGATACGCAGAAATGTTCACTGATTACAATAAACTTTACCGCAATTTTTTCCATCGTGCGGTTACGAAGATATCGATCTTTAAAGTGAGTATTTGCACGGATAGTAGTTAGATATGCATTTTATCCAAAAAAACAAAAAGCTCATTAAATTGAGTTCATAAAACTGCAATTTTTTCCCTATTTAATCGTTTCTCTATCTTCGCTAGTTTTCAAGATCTCCATACTAAACATGGAAAAAAACTCACCCTGTATTATAAGATAGTTGTGGATAAAAGTAGTTTTTGAAAAAAATATTTATAGCATCTATGTTATAAAGCAATAAAATCGAGGGTGAAAGTACATGAAATTAAATTTATAAGTAACTTATTAAATTTAATAAGTAAGTAAACATGGAAAAAACTCACCCTGTATTATTTATAAGGTAGTTGTGGACAAAAGCAGTTTTTGAAAAAAATATTTATAGCAACTATGTTATAAAGCAATAAAATCGAGGGTGAAAGTCCATAAAATTAAATTTATAAATAACTTATTAAATTTAATAAGTGTGCAGTTCCAGAATTAATTTAGTAAAAAAGTTAGGTTAAAATAAAGTGACATTTTAAAAATGTATAGTGCAATCAATTTAACCAGGTAAAATCAATTTTTTAAGATCACACTATACATTTTAATGTGTCACTTTTGACTTTTACATTAACATAACCTCAAATTAAATTTTTATTAAATTTTTACTTACAATTTCATCAGTTCCATTCGAAAAGATCTCATCTTGTTTAGCAACAAACAATTTAATTTCTTTATCGTAAACAACACCGGTTTCATGAACGGTCGTTAAATACTGTCCGAAACTAACCGTTTTAATAATTCTTAAAACGTTTAGTTCTTTATCGCCCAATTCGACTTTTTGACTCAATTTCCAATCGATTTCCCGTTGATTTTCGCTTAAAATCTCGATCCCTTTTAACATAACATCTTCGGGCAAAGCCAATTTTTTAACATTTTCTTTTAAAAATGTGTAATTTAAGTCTTTGTTATTGTTAAAATCGATGTTTATTAAATTGATTAAGTTAACGATTTGATGTAGGAGGGATCGGGTTAATTTCCCGCATGATTTTAATATTTCAACGTCGGTTTTTAAATAATCGTTAAATATTATAATCGATTGTAATAAAGGTTCGTCTCCGATTATCGATAATAAATCGTTTAATTCCAAAAGTTTTGATTTTTTTAATATATCTTCTTGGGTGTTTTTTATTCCGTCGTTTGAGCTTTTATCCGATTTATCATCGACGATTTTTTCTTTAATTTCTTGATTAATTTCGTCTTCATCGAATGATTCATCAGAATCATCTTCTTCCTCTGATTGATTCGAATTTAAACTTTCGTTGTCATCATCATTATTATCATCGCTCAATTCTTCTTCATCATCATCATCCTCAGAATCGGAATTAATTAATTTTCGCCTCCGTCTCGTTCTTTTAACCGATTTTTTTTTCCTCGAATTTTTATTTAACCATTTTTTTAAATCTTTTAAATTATTTTCCGGCGGGGGTAAAGGAAAGTTTAAAATCCCTTCTTGAATATGATTAATTACAGTTGAAACTAATTGGGAGTAAACTGCCAAACTAAAAGCTACAACGCTCGACGTCATGGACGAATTTGACGATTGCAATTTATAAATACAAATTAAACAAATTGAAACGATTTTAAAAATGACGTTGTGACTTAAATAATTCGGTGGGTTTGAGTCTGAATCGATTGTGTCGTTTGTATCGACACTTTCTGCAGTGAGTGGTTTTAAATAATTCATACATTCTTGGAGATCGACATTGGCTTGGTGGCATAAATCGTAAATACGATTTACCTTTTTTTCAAACCACCACACCTCAACTAAATTTAAAAACCTACAAATGAATCTTTTGATGTAATCAGAGGGTTCTAATTGAATAATAACATCGCTTTCGGGATTCTCAATGGGAAATTGGCTCAAAATCGTCGCGTTTTTCTCAAATAACCTAATCAAATTATTTTCTGTCCCTTCAAAAGCGTTCCGACAACACATTGATCTCAAATAATGATAACTCGCATCTAATAAATTATTTCCATTATTCGCCAAAGTTCCCATTTGATTATGAGGCATTCCAAATTCAGGTTTAAATAAAAGGGCTTGAGAATAATACCGAATCACTAAATTCTGATCCCAATTTGGGTATAAATCTAATTTGTATCGCGATAAATCGCCTAAATACACTAAAGATCGGTGTACAGATAAATTAGCCCACTCAATTATCTCTTTTTCAATCACCTCCGTTCTTTTTAATCGCCCATATTCTACATTTCCAACAAAATCGACAACCCCATTTAAATCCAAATCGAATTCTTTGCGTAATCGTAGAATATAATGGTGATAATGGCCAATTCCGGCGTTTATGTGGCTCTCTAAACTCGATTTTTCTTCCGATGTGTATTCAGATTTCTTTAATTGCTTCGCGGCAACTACTACTTCATAAAAACCTTTTCGCCATAATAGCTCTTCACCTTTTCGACCCGTTAATAATGGGTTTGTAAATATTAATCGTTCGCAATAATCTTTAAATTTACTTCGTTGTACTTGAACGCTTGGTTTGAAAAGGTCCGAAACGTTTCTTGCACAACTTCGAGCATCATCCAAATTCTTAACATGTTCCCTTATGTATCTAATAAAAAAATAATTTTTGAATTTCCCGCCTTTTTAAACGTCATAAATGACTTACCTATACAATTTTTTGGCATGTTCTTGCCCCTCCTTTTGGTGGACATCGCTGGTAGCGTTGTAAGATTTCTTCATCTTAACAACGTAAAATAGAAGAAAACGCTTGCTCCGTTTTTTCTGTAGCGTTACATTCTCCGTGGGGCTCACCGCGGTCAAGAGTTTAGCAGCTGGACGGATAAACGGTCGGTTTTGGGTGATACTTTCCTACCTTTTACGGCACGTTGCATCCCGGTCATACTATCGCTGGTACTATTAGTACCGTTTCTAACATTACCATCGTCAATTTCGGGACAAGACGTCGACACCATCACATCAAAAATCCCTTAACGGAATCATTAACACCGTCACACTTGCTGATGGCGTTTTTATTGAGAAGAAAATTGCGCACCCGAGCATCTGTCGGACGGAAGTTGTACTTTAAAAATTTTGGATGACGTTTCTATGCCATCTATTTGAATTTTGTTATTTATTTCATTAATTTATTTAAAATTAATTAAAAGCCTCATTATTTAAAATAATAACAAAAACATCATTTTTTGCATTTTAGATATAGTATTTAATTATTAACAAATTTTAGGAAACATGCACGAGCGCCATCTTTGATTGACACATCAAAGTAAGTAAAAATGTATTTTTAAAATATTAGTTTCATTATATTATCTTATATTTCACATTTTCGCGATGTCTCAAATTACTTTTTGATTATGGCAAAGTTGAAAACGTTTTAATAAACGCAGTTTAGGTTATAATTAACTCTAATCTTCGTGTATGTTTCAGTGAGCTAAAATAGATGGCACTAGCAGTTCTATAACTGTCAAATTAGGCAATTAGTTTACATGTTCAAATTAAATCGAATTTATTAAAAAAACGAAGCTATTTCGTTCCTTTAAAAACATTTTAAATGTAATTCTCGGGTGGTTATTTATTTATAATTTATAATTAATTAAAAGCCTCATGTATCAAAGACCGATTCATGAAGCCTGTGTATTCGAGCCAAAATGGCGGGTTGATAGCTTGTCAATGTATGTTACCACTTATTTACAAAAATAATGCGGTCTTGTTGCCTTTGGAGTTGCAAAAATAGCAGTAAAAAGGGCTTTCGACCCTTCAGAATACCTCAAAAAAAAGAAAGGAAATTTGGCTTAATTTTATCAACAGAATGACATAGTTTTAAATTTCCCACTTGACTTTCAAGCCAAAATGGCCATGAAATGGTCATTGGAAGAATTGACATTTCTATGTTTTTGTTTATACAGTGTATTTCACTTATGAAGGAATACAAGATATAAAATAAAATTTAAAAAAAATTAAAATATAAAGCGAAATATTAACGGTTAAAATTTTATTATTTTTAGGTTATCCAACTTGACTCTTGACTCGGTTACCATGGTGATTAAGATCAAAATATTGCAGATGCTTCTTAAAAGTGAAATTGAATTTAAGTTTTTTTAAGGAAAAAGTCTTATTTAATTGGTTTAAAAGGCTGTATTTAACTCAAAATTGGTTTATCTAGGGAATTATAAAGAAGGTAAGTGGATTAAATCATAAAAAGATATTTTTAATTTATTTCTCTTAATTAGAATCAATTTAAATTAATTACAATTAACGAATTTGTTATGAATGCGAGATAATCGTAAAGAATTCGAATTGTTTTAAAATTAATAAAAATTAGGTTAGAATTGATAAAAAAATCGGAATAAAATTTTATTATTTTAAGGTTATCCAACTTGACTCGGTTGCCATGGTGATTAAGATCAAAATATTGCAGTTCTTGTCAAAATTGACGTTGAATTTAATTTTTTTTAATGAAAAACACATAATTAAGTGGATTTAAAGGTTGTATTTAATTCAAAATGGGTAAATGGATGAAATTATAAGCAAGGTAAGTGGATTAAATCAAAAAAAAATATTTTTAGATCAATTCAAACGTACAAGAATTTAGGGTTGAATAACAATTAAAACTAAAACTAACACTAGAACGGCTAAACCTGAATATTTCTAGTTCTGGGTCTAGTGTTAGTTCTAGTTTTACACTAGCACAGTTGTGAAAAAAACTTTCAGTTGTCAATGTCAACTTTAATTTTATTATTATATTCGTAATCTTCATAAAATAACCTTTAAATTGAGTCCAAACTTGACGCATTTATCTCAAAAAACCAAAAATTTCGAATTTTCAACTTTTAATTTTGACATATTTGTCAACTTCATAAAAAATCCTTTAAAATGAGTCCAAACTCGACATATTTAACTTTAACATTAATGGAAATACGATCACTTCCGGTTTGAAACGTCAACGTCAATTTTGACATATTTGTTATCTTCATTAAAAAACCTTTAAAATGAGTCCAAAGATGACGCAGTTATCTCAAAATACAAAAAAGTTTGAATAAAAAACGTTAAACCCGAAGTTAGAAACAATGAAGATAGCAATTTAATTTTTAAATATTAATACCAACCTTAATTCTTTATTTTTTTTATTGTATTTTTGTTTTTGTGATAAATTTTATAAAAATTAAGAATTTGTCAAAATGACATTGACATTTCAAATCGGAAGTTGCTTATATCTCGAGTAATATTGGAATTAAATGTATCATGTTTGGGCTCATTTTGAAGGATTTTTCACGACGATTACAAATATGTCAAAATTGACGTTGACATTTGTAACCGGAAGTTGAGCATAACTTCATTAATATTGGAGATAAATATGTCGTGTTTGTACTCATTTTAAAGGATTTTTAATGAAGATTACAAATATGTCAAAATTGAGGTTTACATTTTAAATTTGAAGTTAGTTATCGTATAATAGACAAATGGACGGCTTTAAAGACGGCTAAACCTGAATGTTTCTAGTTTTATATCTAGTGTTCGGAACTCGAGGTACTTCGAGTGAACTTAAATCTCTACAAACAAAGTAATAAGTGAATTTATATCAACAATTAGGTTGAATTATATTATATTGAACATATTAAAGCCATCAATTACATTATTTTTGAATTAATGCGCTGTATGGTTGTCTATAAACCTAGACATTCTCTTATGTACAAACCTTGAGGGTTTGCATAGATGAAGATGGTTTTAATGTTTTTATGGAGCTTTTTTTAAACTAAAATACTTGATGAATAGTTGATGAGATGGTAGTGGTAGGTGACTTTTCTGTATCCCTTCTTGATTTGATCTTTTCATCTGGTATATTGCTTGTTGCTAATTGTAGTATAATTGATCTTAACTTTTCGGACCATCTTGTGAGCTATCATTACAATGGGCAGTTGTTGTATGATGGAAGATTCTAATTTGATCTGGAAGACTTTGAGAAAATTTAATTTTGTTAGGTCTAATATCACTGATTTACCTCCATACCTGGCTACGTCTACTAGCGTTCCCTCGGATGATATTTCTCTAGATATGGTTAGGTTGTGTTATCTTCGTATTTTGAATGCTCTCTGTCATATTTTCAACTTTTGTCTGGTAATGTCGGTTTATCTTAAGACATGGAAATGTGGTCTGGTGACTCATGTTCCTAAAACGAAACCAGTTAAAGACTTGAAAGATTTAAAGCCTATTACCATGCTTCAAGTTTTGTCTAAAGTGTTATAGAAAATTATGACTGATAAACAATCTGGTTTTAGGAGTCAGTATAGCTGTGCCACAGCGCTTCTTGACTTAACTGATGATATATATATCTCTCGATGTTGATCGATATACTGTACTTGTGTTGCTTGACTTTACTAAAGCATTTGATATTTTAAATCATCACCTCTGATTCTATTAAATTGTCCTATCTTATTTACAATCTATACCATCAATTTATTCTCAAAGTTAAAGTATTCTTCTTATCATCTTTATGCTGATGATTCCCAACTTTATCTGAATTTCCTGCCTTGTGAGCAATGGGAAGCTTGTGATAAAGTAATGGAGGATTTAAATCAGTTATGTATAGAAATTAAGAGATATGCTCTTTTGGTCAACCCTGACAAGACTCAAGGTATTTTATTTACTAAAAAAGGGTAGTAAAGAGGGTAATTAATTGTTATTTTGGTAACAGTAAAGTATTATTATTATGTGTGAAATAACTTTAAATCATAATTATGAGGTCTGTAAAAAACACAAAGAGCTATTTCAAGCAATTTAAACAAAAATATAGGATAGAAAATCAGATAAATATAAAATTGAATATTATTTTAAATTTAATTTTTATTCAATTAATATTACAACACACTTATCTGTAAATTTGACAAATACAGTAGATGCGGGGACGAAATTAAAATAAAAATTAATTATAAATCTACTTAATTATAATAAAATATAACTCTACTAAATTAAATTGCTGTAAATAGATTATTTTGTATAAACGGGGCTCAGGGATATATTTATTCTCTTTATAAAGATTAAAAAATGAAGATAAATTAATAACTCAAAAATCAAATTAATTAAATCGTGCGACAAATAATTAGATTTTAACACCACATTCTTGAAGATACAAAAAATATATGTACAAAAAACTTCTCATTCCAATTAAAATGAAATTACTTTTTGTCGCCGATATTCTTTATACTTTTTGGGGATTCACAGAACTACTCGATGAAGTCACCTTTTTGTTATGACGCACTTTTTTAACGTAAGCCTCGATCAAATTTTGAATTTTTTGTGGATTTATTTCACCAGATTTATTATGACAGATCTAAAACAAAAAAAATCTTAATAATCCTACTTTTAAAACTCATCTTATTTACCTTGGGTACAGCTCTCCTCAAAATATCTTTGTACTCTTCTTTATTAATGTGTTTCTTGTTATAATGAGGTTTTAAAACCAATTTAACCTCCTCAACAACCCTTTCTTGTCGATTCAACTTCTTTAAATACTGTAATATGATAAAACATCGTCGTTTTAGGTTTTAAAATGGTGCGGATTGAAAAAAAAAAGAATAATTTTTATGGAAAAAGGGTACAGTTTGTCGTATTGTGGGGCGAAAACACCCCCGGCTTTGCGTTTTGATAATTTAATTTTAATTCTTTTTTTTTATGGAATACTCACTTGGAGTTTCTCCTTATTACAGACACTCGTGGGCCCCACAGATAACACCCATTCATCCACAAACTAAAAACGATTAATTAATATTTCAAACGCATGCCTTTTTGTCTTTTTTTTTGTAAATAGCGCGCCGCACCTTACAGACAGCTTGTACTATTTTTTAAATAATATTAAAATAACAAACAATAACAAATTAATAAAAAAAAAATTTTATTAATTTGTTATTAACAAATAAATTTATTAAACTCACCTTATCTTTAACCTGCATCTCAACAGCAGAATTAGGTACATCGTCCAAAATCTTAAACGAATCCTCATCGATTTTTACCCCAACTTGTTTAGTTTTACCACCTTTCTTATATTTAGAAGCCCCCTTTTTAACTCCACTTTTCGTCCCACCTTTTTGAAAAGTATTAATTGGAGACGACCCGAATAAAACATCGAAAGTATTTTGTTGTTTAGTAGGCGATTTTTGTTGTTGTTGATTTTTATTACTAACATTCACTTTTTCTTTTTCTTGTTGTTGTTGCGATTTATTTGCCTTATCAGTGGGAGGTTCAAATAAATCTTCATAATCACTTGATCCTGGTGAATATGGGGAATCAAAATCCAACGTAACATCGGCATCTTGAGATTGCGATAAAGACTGCGATTTACGACTTTGAGATTTATTAACCATCGGTTTAATCGGTGTCGATTTTATTGGTAATTTATTCGGTGAAACTTTTACGGGTGATGATTTTGTTGCCGTCGGTAAAATGATTCTTGGTAATGTTGAAGCTATAGGTGGCGCTATTAAAGTACTATTTAGAATGTTAATTCTTGATGAAGACGTTGATTGTGATATTAAATTACTCATTGGAGTGGACGTGATTAAGTTGTTACTTGAAAATTGTGGCATCGTTGGTGTTTGGGGTTGAATCACTTGATTAATTATAACCCCAATGTTTAATTGTTGATCGGTTTTTGGCGAATTTTTTTCTGGGCTATTCGCTTTAGTGCTGCTTTGTGAATCGGCTGGTTGGATATCAGCTACAACAGGTGGAGTGTGTGATTTATCATCATCTTTGTTATTATCAGAACAACTTTCTGTGTTTTCTTCTTTTCCACTATTCATAACTTCTAAATCAACGGGAGTTGGAGTACGTGATTTTGTAGGATCAAAAGGATCGTAAGCATCGGGACTACTCGGTGGTGAATTAGGAGGTTCTGGAGGTGTGTTTGGTCCTTTATGTTGTTGAGAGTTATCATTTGATCTCTCCTCTAATTCTTCCTCCTCTTCCTCTTCTTGATTCTCATCGTTTTCTAATTCATCCGGTTCATGAAGCGGATTAGAAATCGCTCTCATTTGATTTTGTTTAGGGTTTAATGTGAATTTTATTTGAGGTTCTGGAGGGGTTTTTGGACCTTGAGAATAATTTTGTTGTCTCATTGTTTCCGGTGTTACAGCTTGTTGTGATGAATCACAAACCACGTCTTTTTCTAATAAAATATCGTTACTTTCATTATTTTCGCTATCGGTTAACACGATTACGTCTTGATGAGGTGGGGTTAATTCACGGAATGGTGAACGATCTAAATCGATGATTGCCACAGGTTTTACAGCTGCCATTTCTTTTTTCTTCCTTTTACGTTCATCAGAAACTTTACGTTTTTCTTTACGAACTAAAAATTAAATTCAAAATAAGAAATTAATAATTTTTTTTTATAACGTTTTAAGTTGGTAATAGTATACGCTGTCAAATTTAAAAATCAACATAACCCAACTTTTATTTTTTTTATTTATTTACTAAAAATGATTCTTTTTAAGGGGGGAACCACATTTGAAGGTTCAAAAAATCGATTTTTAGTTAGCAACTATCCAAGAATATGCTGTCAAAATTACAAACCGAAATTCGCATTCGTTTAGATTTATGAGCATGAAAATCGGGGAATGCTTTTATAATATCAAACGTTTTTGATGCCTTTTTAGAAATAGAAGCTGCTACATATATCACAACAATTATTATCAACATCGATACTTCAAGATGAGCAGGATACAATTAAAAGTATTTTAATGCCAAGAATGAATAAATCGATAAAACCGATATATACAGGGTGAATAAAAAGTCTGGAACACCTCAAAACGAGTTTCTTTTTGAAAGAATCCTTTCAGGTGTCAAAGACTATAATAAATTTGTCGTCTTTTCCTATGTCAAAATTTTTTTTACACATTTTCGGGGTTAAAGGGAGCAACATTTTTTTATTATTTTATTCGATAATCTTTTTTTGATACATTTTTTTGAGTATCTTAGAAAATATTTTTATTAATAAATATTTGATTTGGAAAAATTTCTAGTAGGCGCTAAAACTAATTGAAAATGCTTTCAAACTATCGCGATGCATGAACTTATCGAAATAATCCAAATAGGCTTTGTTCGTATCTATGGTTACGTTGAATGATATTTTTACAAACAAATAAATGATTAGTTGTTTGGTAATTTTGAACATTCAAAATTACTGTAATGTGTTAGTTAAATCAAATTTTCTTCGAAAATACATAATTCTACTGTTAATTTCAAGAATTCTTCTAAAAAATGTCTCTTTCTGAAAAAGATAGAATTAAAATCCTCATGATGTGTGGTTACGGAGATATGAGAAGAACCCCTGTGGAATTCTGCGCACTTTTTAATGAACTACATAACGATCGCCCAGCAATATCACGATCCATGGTGAGTAAAATTCTTGCTAAATACAGAGATCATGGGCATGTGCGCGACTTGCCAAGATCATCTGGTCATCCCACAATCAATGAAGATGCACAACTTAAAATTTTGTTAAGAGTTGCTGATTTGAGTCAAAGTACTATTTATTCTCAATGTATTAGACCGACATAAATTCCATCCTTATAAAATTTCACTAACTCAAGAACTAGTAGGTGATTTTGACCGTCTACTGCAATTCTGCGAACAAATGCAAATTCTGTGTAATAATGACCCAATCTTTGCGAAAAATATTGTTTTTTCGGACGAAGCTACCTTTTCTTTAAGTGGAACTGTAAACCGACAAAATTTCAGATATTGGGCCTTAGGGAATCCCAGGTGGATGCAGGAGACACAGTTTCCAAGAAAAGTTAATGTTTGGGCTGGTATAGTGAGAAACAGAATATTGGGACCATTTCTTTTAATGAAAATCTGACAGGCGTTAGATATTTGCAATTTTTACAGGAAGATGTGGTTCCAACGACCACATCTTCCCGGACAAATTCACCACCTCATTATGCCCTTCCCGTTCGAACGTATTTGGATGATATTTTTCCACAAAAATGAATAGGTCGACGTGAGTTTTTAGAATGGCCACCTCGTTCCCCAGACTTAACTCCCCTGGATTTCTTTTTATGGGATCACTTAAAGAGTAAAGTATACGTTAATAAACCCGCGAACATCGACGATTTAAAGGTACGAATTCGGGAGGAGATAAGAAAAATTGAACCTGACATAATTGATAGAGTGCAAGATGAGTTTATTTTTAGGTTAGGGCACTGTCAAATAGTAAATGGACAACAGTTTGAGCATCTTATTCATTGATATTTCAACTGGCCTTGCATGCTATGGTATAAAAAATGGGAATTGCAACGTCTACTAGAAGTTTATCCAAATCAAATATTTATTAATAAAAAAAATTTTTTTTCGCAAAATTTTTCTTATGTAACCTAATGCAAAATTTGCTCTAAGATATTCAAAAAAATGTATTCTTTCATATTATCGAATAAAAAATTGGGGTTGTCATTTAAAAAAATGTTGTCCCCTTTGATCCCGAAAATGTACGCCACTGTAAAAAAAATTTAAACATAAGAAAAGACGACAAATTTATTATAGTCTTTGACACCTGAAAGGATTCTTTCAAAAAGAAACACGTTTTGAAGATATTTGAGGTGTGCCAGACTTTTTATTCACCCTGTATGTATATCTTAAATTTATACAATATGGGTGAATATTACGGTAAAATTACTTTTTCTTTACATTCTAGTATACTTTCTATGATGATACGTTCTAGTTCTAGGTCTAGTGTTAGTTCTAGTTCAATAAAAATATAAAACATATAGTTCGTTTTTTTTCTATAATACTTGTCAATGTAAATTATTTAGGGTTTCTGTTGGTATTATCTAGGACCCTTATAAAATTTATGTTGTTTTCATGGTTTTTAGTAACATTTTCAGTAACTATTTAGTTGAGGTTAAAATACTGATACATTTTTATTTAAATACGATTTTCACGAAGTACATATTTGTTGTAAAAACGTGCTACAAAGTAATTAATAGAATAAAATACCTTTTCTAGGTAAATAAATGGCAAATAAACACCCCACAATACTTTTTATGCAACTTTTCTTTTTGATTAACGAAAGCTCAAACGTCAATGTGACATATTTACTTCAAAACATGATAAAACAAAACTCCCTGTTAATTTTGCCAACTTTACAACAATTTAACAGGTATTATAGAAAAAAAATGAACTATAGTAATATCTTATACTAACTAGCGCTACCTACCACTGCCATTAGAACTAACACAAGAGCTAGAACTAGAATCATTCGGGTTTAGCTGTGTTGAGAGACGTGTGACTAGCTAAACCCGAATATTTCTAGTTCTAGGTCTTCTGTTAGTTCTAGTAATAGTGCTAGTGTAAAACTAGAACTAACACTAGGCTTAGAACCAAAAACATTCAAGGGTAATGTTTTTTATTCTCTTTTTTGTTTTTTGAGATAAATGCATCATGTTTGGACACATTTTAAAGGTTTTCGAATAAAGAATACATCATGAAAGAACACCATGAAGTTGTCCATTTGTCTATTATATGATAATTAACTTCAAGTGTAAAATGTCAACCTCAATTTTGACATGTTTGTAATCTTCATTAAAAATCCTTTAAAATGAGCCCAAACATGACACGTTTAATAGACAAGCTAAGCCTTGACGTCACAGAGATGGGCGGAGCTTATACTGACTCCAAACAATTTCGTTGCTAAGATAAATCGCCAAAAAATGTCATATGAAATTTTATCACTTAGTTTATTTTATTTTAACACTAATTGAAAAATTGCATATTATTATGGTGATTTACCGTTAGCAACATAGTTAGCAACGAAAATGTTTGGAGTCGGTATAAGCTCCGCCCATCTCTGTGACGTCAAGGCTTAGGTTGTCTATAGATGTGTGACTTTTTAAAAGACATTTCCAATGACATTTTTATGGCGGTTTATCGTTAGCAACTGTGGTTAGCAACGAAATTGTTTGGAGACGGTATAAGCTCCGCTTAGCCCTGTGACATCAGACTTAGGCAGTCTATTCCAATATTACTCGAGATATAAGCAACTTCCGGTTTGAAATGTCAACGTCATTTTGACATATTTTTAATTTTCATATCTCAAAATTTATTACAACTTTTTATTCTAACTTTTTTGTTTTTTGAGATAAATGCATCATGTTTGGACTCATTTTAAAGGTCTTTTCTAGTAAAGAATACATCATGAAAGAACACCATGAAGTTGTGCATTTGTCTATTATATCATAACTAACCTCAAATTTAAAACGTCAACCTCAATTTTGACATATTTGTAATCTTCATTAAAAATCCTTTAAAATGAGTACAAACACGACATATTTATCTCCAATATTAATGAAGTTATGGTCAACTTCCGGTTACAAATGTCAACGTCAATTTTGAAGCCTACAACTAGAACGTGTCGGGTTTAGCCGTTCGTCTGAAGACGCATGGCTTCTAATTTCGCTACATTCACCTGCATTGAGATTTATATTCTTAGAACATAAGTTAATCTATAATGAAAAACTTTTTGATATTAGATGAAAATTGAAATGGCTAAACGTCCCGCGATTGGAGAACTCTAGGTACAACATTAGTGCATAACTTTGTTATTTTTGGATAGACTATTCAAAAAAATTCACAAAACTTGTTCGAAATATAAATAAAATGTCGAAATTTGATTAAAAATGAAACAAAATGAGCCTCCTAATGTGGTTTCCCCCTTAAATTATTGTTATTTACATACCTTTCTTTGTGGTTTGTTCCGAGGTTGTCTCCCTCCTTTTTTTCGTAACATCCCTTTCCCCCGTATCTTTATTAAAACTAACACTAACCAAAATATTATTTCCAGATGCAAAAACTTCTTTACTCGGAGGTGGGGTTTTATCCCGCTTCCTTTTACGACTTTTCTCGACCTCTTTCCTTTTGTCTTTCTTTTTCTTATCCTTTTTCTTTTTATTATTCAAATCATTGTTTAAAATTACCGTTAAATTTTGCGGTTGAACTCTTTGCGGTTGATTCGGTTGTTGTTCAACAATTCTCGGAGGCGTCCAGGACGGCGTCAATCTTTGTTGCATTTCAGGGCTAAAAGATGGTGATCTCGACCGCGTCCAACCACGATTTCTTCGTTCGTTTTCACGTCGTCTTCTAGTTGGCGATGGAGACGGTGTTCGAACATGTTTTTTACGCTCAACAGAAGATTTTCGGGTAATTCGTTTTTTACTACTTCTACTTTTTGATCTGCGTTTTCTTTGGCGAGATCTCGAACGACTTCTCCTTCTTTCACTGCGACTTCGCGATCGTACTCGTCTTCTTTGTTTTCGTTCGCGCGAAATTGATCTGGAACGTGATCGTGATCTAGATCTGGATCGACTCGATCTTGACGCCGATTTTCTTCGGCTTTTATCTCTCCCGAATTTATCTCTGCGTGGTTTTGCGATTATTGATCGGACGTTATAGCGCACTATTTCTTTGCGTTTTTCTTTTTTCTTTGATTTTTTATTTTCTTTGTCTTCTTTTTCGCGCGATTTACTTCGAATTTCTTCTTTGTCTTTTTCGCGATAATTTCTATCTTTGTTGTTACGCGAAAGTTTTTTGAAATTCGCCCCACCAGTTACCTGATTATTGCAATTCGATGATTCAGGTTCTTTATTTTCATTATTATTTTGGTTATTTTCTCCTTGTAAATTCTCGGATAACTCTTTTTTCTTTTTTAATTCTTCCGCTTTTTTTAATTTATCAATTATTTCGCCTTCTTCGAAATCTTCAGGTTTACTAAAATCTAATTCTGATTCTTTTGCATTTATTTCCAACGCATCTCCGCCGTCAGATGTCGTCTTAACTTCATGGGATTCATCAAAATCATTTCGATCTTCCTCATCAGAAATCATTTCCGTTTCCAAACCATCTAATCCTTCTTGTTTACGCTCATCTAAACACGGTGTATAAGATCTCTCTTCTTCACTAATATCCTCAGTCATGTTTATAATATCGTTTAATTGAAACGAAGGTGTTTCTTGTTGAACATTTTGGTTGGTTTCTATAACCTCAATAACAGGATTTGGTTGCGAATTATTAATTAGTGGGTTAGTTATTGTGTTATTTGTCGAAAATGGCTGCATTTTAACTAATTCTTCATCCTCTGAATCGCTATATAACCCCAAATTATCCTTTTTTGACGATGAAGCATCTTTTGAATAACTTGGGGGGTGATAAATTTCTTGGGTAATCAAATTGTGATCAATTTTCTGCTCCGAATTCTCCTCTTTCTTTTCATCCTTTTTATTGTTATCAATCAAATTTTCTCCCAACAACTCCAAATCGGTTTTTTTTGCTAAATTAATACTCTCAGACGAATAAATACTAAAATTTGGACACCCTTCTTCATCACTATCGTCATCATCGTACTTCTCCTCTTTATTGTGCATTGTAGAAACAGTTTCATTTTGGATTTCTGTTGTTGAATGAGGCATTTGAACGTTTTCGACGCTGGGTTCAGCTTCTGTAACATCCACTGTTGAACTTGAAACTTGATCTTTAATTTCATCTTGTTTTTCCGTGTCGATTATTAAGTCTAAATCGGAGTTTGCGTCTTCGTCGGTTTGAGTTGTCGGTTCGGAATTGTTTTGTGGCGTTTGATTCTTATCAAAATCTTCGAGTCGGCTTGTCGAAACGGTTTCGATATCGCTGTAAATGTCTAAATCGGAATCGCTATTTTGGGAATTGTTTGATTTATTTGAAGATTTTTTATCTTTTTTTGTATCATCAAAACAACTTTGGGATGTCGACGCGAAATTTTCTGTCGTTTCTGGAGAATTATTCAAATCAGAAACGTTAGAATCAGAAATTGTTGAAGTTGTAACAACATTATTAATTGTTTCGGTACTAACTCTTCGTACATTTTCATCTGAATTACTTGTTAAAGAACTGGGGGACGAAGAATTCCCAGAACTATTCCCATAATTCGGCCTTTGCCTTAAATACTCATCTCGATAACTATTTACATTAATCCCTCTCGAGTTATTTGCATCGACATGTTTATTTTTGTTATTATTGTTTTCAATATCTTTTTTATCAATTTTTATACTTCCATCTCTATTAAGGGATAAAACGGAGTCTCTCGCATGAAATTTCGTTTGCATATCTAAAATGTTATCTAATAGATTTGAAGTGGTTGGTTGCGATGGCAAAATAGCCGCTTTTCTACGAGCTGCGCGTCTAAAAACTGACGCATCCGATAAATTTGGTCTCCGACGGCGCACTAAAATATCCAAGCCGGTTTCAATTTCCGAATCGGAACTAGGGGCCGAATTTAAATCACCATCGGTTCGACCAAAAATGTGTAATCGAGGAATCCCCGCTTCGTTTCGTTGAAAAGCTGTGAAAAAAATTAGAATTAATACGTTATTATAGAAAAAAAAATAATTATAAAATTTATTTATTTTATTAATTTAAGTATATTTTCAAACAATCTATCGTTTTTAGAGATTTTCATACTGTCTAGAAAAAATGCTGAATACCGAAAGACCTAAAATACTAATAATTTAATTTTATTATTATATTCGTAATCTTCATAAAAAATCCTTTAAAATGAGTCCAAACTCGGCATATTTAACTTTAATATTAATGGAGATACGATCACTTCCGGTTTGAAACGTCAACGTCAATTTTGACATATTTGTCATCTTCATTAAAAAACCTTTAAAATGAGTCCAAACAAGACGCACTTATCTCAAAAAACAAAAAAGTTAGAACAAATAACATTAAACCTGAAGTTTGGACAATGAAGATAGCAATTTAATTTTTAAATATTAATACCAACCTTAATTTTTTTATTTTTTTTATATTTTTGTGTTTGTGACAAATATTAAGACATTTTATAAAAATTAAGAATATGTCAAAATGACGTTGACGTTTCAAACCGGAAGTTGCTTATATCTCGAGTAATATTGGAATTAAACATATCATGTTTAGACTCATTTTAAAGGATTCTTCACAACAATCACAAATATATCAAAATTGACGTTGACATTCTTAACCGGAAATTGACCATAATTTCATTAATATTGGAGATAAACATGATTGAGGTTGACATTTTAAACCTGAAGTTAGTTAACATATAATAGAAGTTTTATAACTGAAGTTAATCTAATGTTAGTCACTTTTCCGCATTTTCTTTTTATTTTAAACGTGTTTTTTGGGTCACGTGATGATTCAATAGAGGCTCTAAATTGTGAGGTGCTCTCCACTGGGAAGCCAACTTACTGGCCAACAGATAGAAGTAAAATTCCAGATCAGCTTGATTTTTTTATTACGAAAAATATATCGCTTAACTTCGTAAACATAGCAGAAAAGTTAGGGCTGGACTCAGATGTATGTAACAAAGAACCCTTTTTATCACTAACTAATAAACTCACTAATTGGAATCTATTTCAACAAACATTAGATAATAAAATTCATCTCAATGCTCTTATGAAAACAAACAAAGGCATTGACAATGAAGTAGAAAAATTTTTAAAANGAATCTTCATTAATATTGGAGATAAATATGTCGTGTTTGTACTCATTTTAAAGGATTTTTAATGAAGATTACAAATATGTCAAAATTGAGGTTGACATTTTAAACCTGAAATTAGTTATCATATAATAGAAGTTTTATAACTGAAGTTAATCTAGTGTTAGTCACTTTTCCGCACTTTCTTTTTAACGTGTTTTTGGGTCATTTCACGTTGATTAAAAAAAGTCGATTTTTTAAGTTACATAATGATTGAATAGAGGCTCTAAATTGTAAGGTGCTCTCCACTGGGAAGCCAACTTACTGGCCAACACATGGCTACTGCTATTTTTCTACCTCAAATGAATGGAAAATCACGAAAATTTTCTTATAAAGCTAATATTAATTTTGGCTGTACCAAACTTTAAAAAAAATTCTCTTTCATATTCCGTAATAAAAATGTATGAATATCGTAGGTTCCGGGGATTGCTATTTGAAAAAAAATAGAGATGAAATTTAAAATCTATACCAAAAAATTGCAAAAAAATTAAATCCTTAGACCAGTCTAAACGATTTTTCCATAAACCGTTTTTACTTGTTTTAACGAATTTATCAGTTACTTTTGGGAAGCACTGTATATATGAGTCAGATGAGGAATATGACACTAATTAGACAAAAGTTGGTTCATCTATAGTTTCCATGATTATCAGAGTAAAATGATTTGAAGACAGTACACTACACACACAATTTTGATGTCTACATTAATTTTGGACTAAAAACGAAAGGACTTATTTCGAAATCGAAACATTTTTCCTCGTAATAAGATTTTTTAACCCTTTGTGTCCCGACGGTACTTTAAAGGACCGGTAGTTTTAAATATTAATTTTACACCGTAGTCATCTATTCGGCGCATTTAGAGTTGTCGGTACTTTCTACTATACAAGAAAGAATCTGTATAAAATATGACACAATCCGCACTATAGGGTTTTTTGGTATATTTAAACTTATTCGTCCAGGTGTGAGGTTAGAAGTTTAGTGAAAAGTGGTGTTGTTGAATTTTGTTGTTCAAAAAGGTATCTCTTTGATAAATGGTTATTAGGTGTATTTATTACAGATTATTTTAAAGAGAAAGCTTTGAACTTTAATTTAGAACAAGTCTCATTCCTTAATTTCAATAAATACGGCTTCCCGGAATTTTTAAATTAGCATCTTTTTGACATTTTTAGGTTATACGAAAATGTATGTTTTGTTTCAATACCTCTTTTCTTAATATTTTTCCAATCCAACCCATCAATTATTATACATCATTTTAAAGAGAAAGCTTTGAGCTTTAATTTAGAATAAGTCTCATTCCTTAATTTCAATAAATACGGCTTCCAGGAATTTTTAAATTAGCATCATTTTTTGACACTTTTAGGTTATACAAAAATGTAAGTTTTGTTTCAACATTTTTCTTCTCAATATTTTTCCAATTCAACCCTACAACTATTATACGTCATATTAAACAGAAAGCTTTGAGCTTTAATTTAGAACAAGTCACATTCCTTAATTTCAATAAATACGGCTTCCAGGAGTTTTTAAATTAGCATCTTTTTTTGACACTTTTAGGTTATACGAAAATGCAAGTTTTGTTTCCACATTTTCTTTCTCAATATTTTTCCAATCCAACCCAACAACTATTATACATCATTTTAAAGAGAAAGCTTTGAGCTTTAATTTAGCAAAAGTCGCATTCCTTAATTTCAATAAATACGGATTCCAGAAATTTTTAAATTAGCATCTTTTTTAACACTTTTAGGTTATACGAAAATGCAAGTTTTATTTCAACATTTTTTTTCTCAATATTTTCCAATCCAACCCAACGGTTATTATAGATCCTTTTAAAGAGAAAGCTTTGAGCTTTAATTTAGAACAAGTCTCATTCCTTAATTTCAATAAATACGGCTTCCAGGAATTTTTAAATTAGCTTCTTCTTTGACAGTTTTAGGTTATACAAAAATTTAAGTTTTGTTTCAACATTTTTTTTCTCAATATTTTTCCAATCCAACCCAATGATTATTATAGATTATTTTAAAAAGAAAGCTTTGAATTTTAATTTAGAACAAGTCGCATTCCTTAATTTCAATAAATACGGCTTCCAGAAATTTTTAAATTAGCATCGTTTTTGACACTTTTAGGTTATACGAAAATGCAAGTTTTATTTCAACATTTTTTTTCTC